TTAGATTGGAGATTAGTAACAATTTCTTCACGGAGAGGGTGCTCAGGCATTGGAACAGGCTGCCCAGGGCAGTGCTGGAGTCACTGTCCCTGAGAGTATTTAAAGACATGTAGATGTGGCACTTAGGGACATGGTTTAGTGGTGGCCTTGGCAGTGGTTGGACTCCATGATCCTAAAGACTTTTCCAACCTAAATGATTTTAATGCGAGTAACTCAGCTAACTCGCAGTCCAGCTTGTAGCTGTGTTTCTGTTTCTGGGCTCCTCATAGGGAAGTTACTGAGTTTGGTGGCATATCCCATGTGGTGTGTTGTTTAAAGCACAGCTCTAAAGCCCCACCTCAGTACCAAGATAGATGGTACACAGGTTTCTAACTCATCAGTATGCCTGCTTCTCATCACTTCAGTGAGCACTGGAGGGGAGAGAAACCAGTAAAGAGCTGTTCACAGCACAAGCACTATGTGTAACCATGCGGAAGAGGCCTGGGCAGGGCAGGAGGTCTGGCTGTTATTAAGAGAGCCAGGAACCCAAGGCTCCTGACTATGCTGCTTATCCACCAGTCTAGTGCTTCTCATGCAGATGAAGTTTGTGAACTTTTTAATCACAGGATCAGTTTCCGTAAGTGTTGCTTAGTAACGTGTTTTGTCTACCACCGTCTGCCCGTGTCACCTCATTTTTTGGGTTTACACTCATTGTGATGCTTTCAGATTTTGTTTTCCAGCTAAAAATTCTTTTAGTCTCAAGCTACAAATGCTCAGGCTGTTTCTCGTACCTATGACAGCACTGTGTTGTGCATATGGCTATCCTCACTCTATCTGAACACTCCTCAAAATGACAGCTGGATAGCTGGGTGTAGGATATACATTGCGTGTATCAAATGAATATATATATATAATAATAAGTGAAGAAATAGAATAAGTTTAAATACACACACACACATATATATATAGGTGCACCTGGGGTGGGAATGGCTATCCTGAATTGGAAAAGGTTGTTCTAAGAACATGGTGTTAAAGGTGGCAAGCAAGGAATGGTGTAAGTGGCCTGCTCTGCCACCCAGGAGTCACCTGCACCCAGGAGAGAGGTGCGAGATGAGCTGGATGCTGGAGGCAGGTGGGTGAATTCTGCTGATGGCATGTTCTTGCCCAGGGGTTTCTGCAGGGTAGGTGGTAACAGCAAAGTGGTTTCAGACCGTCTTGTTCAAATTTTGCTTGTAAGAGTCATTACAAGAAGCTGTCCAGAGAAGAGTCAGAACAAGGTAAACTAATGATGCTTCCTGCTGATACACTTAATGGTGCTGGTAATTTTTAACCTGGGGAATGTTCCTGACACCATGATTTCTCTTTAGTAAGTCCTAAGCTATCCTTCTCCTGTCCCCACCTTGAGCCCCTCTGGCCTTTTAAGTTTTTGCATTAGGACCTCTCTTCTTGTGTTTTGAACCTTGTTCCAGCTTATTTAATTTGTTGCCCTCCATTCTTCTGTTCAGAAAGATGCTAAAGTGCTGTTCCTATCCACCCTTTCCTGGGCAATGGAGATACTGTAGAACTCTATCATATCCCACCCTAGTCATTGCTCTTTGAGGCTGCAGTATCCCAGTTTACTCATTTACCCCGAACCTTTGATAATCTTTGCCCTTCTTTGA